AGCATAAACAGTTTACAGAATTTGAAAATATTAAATAATTCAAGAGAAATAAAAATTTGAACGATATCACTTTTTTATAATAATTTAATAGGGAGTAGTGAAATCGGAATCACTGGAAAAAAATTCATTAATGATCTTCACTATGTAGTTTGCACTATGTTTGTGATTAAACCGATATTAGACACCCTAACAACTCATCAACGTAAACCAATTACATCCGTAATGCGGAAGTTTAATAAATAGCGTGGTAGTTTTTTCCTGGTAGCTTCGACGACGTGCATTTTTTCTGATCATTTTTGTTATAATTAGTAAAAAAAAATCGGTAGAATTTATTTTTCGACATTAAATTTAATAATTGATACGACATTTGATTAATAATAATAATAATATACGTAATAATAAGAAAGTCTATTTGCGTTGAAATTTTTTTTTTTTTTGAATATCGTAAAATGGAAAATTCAAAACTTTATTCATTTTTTCGAACTATAAAGCCATTATTGCATTTCGAAGTAATCAAAAACATGTTTTGAGTGTTCAAACTGTATAAATGAAAGCCGAAAAAGAAAACGTGAAGACCAAATTTTAAGTGATATTTGCAAGCAAAATACTGTAAAATCCGAAGAGATTAAACATATAGTTTATAGTTTATGAAAAGCTTATTGAAGTCGAAGAAGAAAGCAATATGCATGAGATAGCTGTGGATATTTCTCGAATAATTAATGAAGTTTTTGCAAGTTCATTAACGCTTGAGATCGTAAAGATCTGTGAAAAAGGAGATGATTATACCATAAAAAATATGATAATAACCAAATTAAAATTACTTCATTTACCTATTGGTGTAACTGTCGCGTGAACTTGAAATAAGGATGAAAAAAAAAATAAGTACTGAAGATAGTGAATCCGAATCTGAAATTTATGAAAGTACAAACAAACTCTTCATGAGATATAAAGATTTTTTTATTATCACTATATTTTTCATGTTTATATAAATATATTTTATGTTTTAGGCGCTTGATTGTCTTGTAAAATCCAATAATCTTATCAAACAAAAAAAATGGCTTCGAAGCATTGAATCGAACTTTAAACCTATCCAAAAAGTGGTGGATGACATTAAAGATTTTGAACGAGCAAAAAAACTTGGAGCGGTCGTAACAATACCATATTTTACTGGTAGCATTTAAAGTTTATACGTTGTAAAGGTGTTCACCAATTCGGAATCTCAAAATATGGTCAACACAGATATCAACTAACACTAAACCAATCCAAAATCAACACTACAACGGCTAAACTCTATCCAACCCTAATGTTGGAAGGCGGAAAGAGGCGTGGAAAGACTTGGTCCGAATTATTAGGATCAAATAGAGATCTAGACTATGTTACGAAGCTCTAATTCGGATTTACGGGATTAAACTATTAATGATAGATAAATTTGGCTTATTGGGAAGGTAATTAAACGAAATGTTTAAGGATGGATAATAGACTCTTAGTGAGTCGAATTCTAGTGAGCTATTCCAGCTCTCTGTTATTCTTTTATTTAAGAGGAGCGTAATGCTCTTATATACTTAAATTTACAGGCCAAGAATTCACTAAATTCACTAAATTCACTTAATTCACTTAATTTACTAAATTCACTAAATTCCTTAGCTATAAACGGAAATCTAACTAAAAATAGGAATAAAGGATAAAAATAGAAATAGAAAATTACAACGTGCATTAAAAAAAATTTTTAAATTAAACGTAAATACATTTAAATATTAAATTGAAAGTAATTCGACTTAGAATTTGCAGTGTAATTAAGTAAATTCCAATAAATAATTTTAATAATATAATAAATTCGAAAATATCGTGATTTTGTTATTATTATGCTTGGATTGAAATTTAACAACCGATTACGTACATGATTTTGGTGGTGATACTAGGTGTGTTACCGAAAGAAAACTTGCAATTAATTAGTATTGGCTCAGTAAAATCAAAAAACTCGGATTTCCACCGAAAGAAACCTTGCAATTAATTAGTATTGGCGCAGTAAAAATCATAAAACTCAGGTATTAGTTTATATATCAGACATTTTGACATTATTTAGACATTATAGCAAAATTTGGAATTTCGGCAGACTAAATATCAACTGTCGAAATATTTCTACAAACTCAAACCAATTTCAGCAAACAACATTTCCCTAAACTCTAAATTCAACCATATGCTCAGAGTTTACTACCATGATCTCATATGTTTCGAGCAATATTTATATAAATTTATAAGTTGAGAATCATATGAAATGTAGATTGTACAATATATTGACGCTAGTTTAAGTTTGTGCTATTTTTTTAAAAAAGATTTATTGGTGTTAGTAGTTAAAAAAATGTTGTATTAAATATTAAAAATTATCTAATTGGCAAATTCTTCCTAAATTTTTTTATTCATTGCTAAACCTCTGTATTTGCACTTAGTTTTACATTTATATTTCTGAAAATTATGATTGAATAATTTTTGAATCAAATAAAATTTAGGTTATACACAGCGGATCTTTTAGAACTAGATATATTTTTCAATTTCAGTAAATACAGTACCTAATTTTTATAAGCAAAGAAAAATAATCAATAAAAATAAATTTTTTTGAGAATCACATAAAAAAATCCAAATAAATTATACTGTGAATAATTCTCCACTTTACAATTTCACAGTATCTATCCCAATCTTTTTTATATTTATTCTTACACTTTCTTCATCCCTAAATTCTCGATTAATTAATAATACTGCAAAAATATACAATGGTATAATATCATCAAATCCTAAATAATTTTGAAAGTAGTAAATATTATCTATGGTTTGTGATTTAAAAAAATGAATTCGTCTATTAAGTTATTAATTTACCACAAAGCAAACACCAAGCCCATGAAATTAACCAGTCGCCTATATTAGAATAAGATTTATATAATTACAAAATCATTACAAAAATAAGCAACAAAATTACATAGAATTAGAGCCCACCACCAAGATATAATTAATCTTGAACTAGCCTCAGTTGTTATATATTTTAAATCTATTCCATCACGACCGTAACAATATTATTATTGATTCCACTATTCAACTAAGTATAACAAACAGAATGGATAAAAAGAACATACGCTTAACTCTCGATCCTCGGGATTATTCCTAAAATATTTTTTTTTCATTATTTGCACCTCTAAATGTCGTATATCCAATGGCTTGCAGACAATTATAAATATAATTTTGGAGCCGAGATAAATGAACAGGATGTAAAGCAAGATACCGTATTTACTCGAAATAACGCACAGGGGCGTTATTTTGAATTTTGGCCCGAATTAAGCTTAATTTGGGCCAAATTTTGAAATTACACCCTGCGCGTTATTTCGAGTAAATACGGTATATTGCTTGAAGAGCATATAAAAACCCAACCTATGTAAAATTTCCAAATTACAACATCCAACCAAAGCCATATGTAGTGATATTCATCGTTGTTAAAACTGCAGGCTGATATAAATTTAAGTGATAATATAAAATAATTTAGTTTATAAATTTTTAAAATATTCAAAGTAATAATATTGCGTAAATAAAAAATTGCCACAAATTTACCTCATTATAAACAGCATCAATACAATACCATCCTTGAAAAATTAAGATTAAGAACATTCCAATTGTGACATACCCAAGTTCATGATATTGTTTAATGACCATGGCTATATTTACAACAGTCCAACAAATTAAGCCTGGCCGAAGTTCCACAAAACACTTAATATCGAATGATCCAATACGTGGATTCAATTCTCGACCAAACATAAACTTTTAATCAAAAAAGAAATATTATATAAATGATTTCTTAGTAAGCAATTTAAAATATATATATATCTTGCATCATAAATAATATTTCCAGGATTTCCACCAAGCGCTAATAATTTTTCTTCTTGAAATGAAGCTAAATAAACGTACAACGAAAGGACGAAAGCCACAATAATTGAAGAGGTAATTAAACCGATAAAATGATCAATGAATAAAAGAGGTTCATATCCTTTGGTATTTAGGATGGAAATAATTATAAATAATGTTAATATCATGCTATAAAATCCCATTCACTTTGTATTTTAATTTTGTGCCATCACGAAGCTGAGTTCTTTCAACACAGTGACCTGGTATTAAATAATAGATTATAACTAAATACGCCAAATAAATCATGTAAGCAAAAAAAGCGGTTAGATCAAATAATGACAAAATGTTGGGTTATTAATATCGGACAGATAGATAATGAGTGCACGAGATGGATTGCCATCGAATTGACAGCTTAAATGCAAAACGCAAGTAAGAATTGGAAGCACTGTAATCATTAGAAATGCGCCAATTGGCCCTGTAATAATGTTAAAAATCGGTGATTAAATATATGCGGGTCATACCGGGTACCCGCTATCTTGGACCCGAAATCGAGTCGGTTCGAGTCTGCGAAACACTACCTATGTATATATTACCTTAAAAACTAGCTAATTGATATCCTAAGTAAAAATGCTCTACGCCTCCTAATATTAATCCTAATCTAACACTAACATGAAAATTTTTATATTCAACCCTTAGAACATCTAATAACATAATAAAAACATATAATAGGTGCAAACCCACCATAGGCGCGTTTTATAATAAATGAATAAATTTAACCTTTTAAGAATTCAAAAATTTAAAATTTAAAATTTTTAAAAAAATTACACTTCTGGTCCAAATGGAACACCGTATTTTCGGTTCTTTAATGTATATATAACTTAAAATGGCTATTCAAAAATTATCGAACGCCTTAATCTTCGCTACATATGTTTTTAACTTTATTACAAATACTTAACTCGCTCCAATCCACACCGAGTTTCCAACCATAATCAATTTCTACATCTTGTGCTATGCAAATATATCTGTTGGAATCTGAAATTACTCAATAAGCTTAAATTGAAAACGATGCCTGTACGCAATCGTGACACGAAACTTCATTATTGTCCGGAGCGTAGCGAAGGACTTGCAATTAGTGATGCAAAACGGCTCTGCAGAACCGTAAGCCGACCGGCTTAGCTGAGTTATTTAACGGATCCACGTAATACAAGCTAAGCCGTTAGTTAGCCGAGCCGGTTTAGAGCCGTGAGCCGATTATATGTTATGACAAAACTAATATAAATAATAAACTTTCGTATTGATAATAAACTTTCATATTGATAATAAGTTTTCGTATTTATAATAAACTATAAAAATATGTCGTAATATTTTGTAAACTATTTGTCATAATATTTTTTCTTTTAGATACTTACAATACTCGCCCAAATGGATCATAACGACCTTTCTTATATTAATTCCCAAAATTCACAAGACACTTTGCAAGAAATTTGATAATAATATAACGATATAATAATAGTTTTTTTTTTTTTTTATGTTTCTATACCATCGCTGCTTTGTACATTTGCAAATTATTAATTACTGAAATATCTGTATATGTATTAACGCTGAATTTAATTTAAAATAAATTTTATATAGCGATATAATAATACAATTTAGAGCCGATGGCTCTTGAACGGCTAGCTAAAAAATGACTCGGCTAAAAAACGGCTTAACTAAATATGACTAAGCTCTGTTATAGCCAGCTGTTAGCCGAGTGGAGCCGGTAATTTGCATCACTACTTGCAATAGATAAGTAAATACCAAAAAATGTCATGGATTCCGATCATCTGACAACCTACCTGCATATTCTTGCATATTCTTGTACATAACTTATCTGTCATGCTCCGGACATCTAACTGTACAGTACGTATCTGTTTTTTTTTCCTAGTTTATATGACAAATTCTGATATGAAAAATTATTGGCTGTAAATAAACGAAATAATAGTACAGTCAGACCCCCCTAAATGCACCCTCCCTAAATGCAGCACCTCTCTAAATGCACGTCTTCTTTTGGGCCCAAATAATATTACATCTATAGAGTTTTACCTCCCTAAATGCAATACCTCTCTAAATGCATGTGCTAGAGCCGGTCC